AAAAAATATACATTGTATCTGATGAGATCTTAATAATCTTAGTAATCTTATAGAAATTTCATTTTTGTAGAATGCAGACTGGAGTTGCTCCTGGACATCACAAGATGTTCCAATAGTATTTGTATTACATTAATACTCTTACATTGACGATGTGACCAAAGTGAAAAAGGAAGATAGACAAATCAGTCACTTATCAATTCCTTGCTGTTGTAAACAGTATTTACAACTGTAGTAGTCATGAAACATTTTCTTCACAAGTGAAATATGGGATATGATAAACTCAACATGAGAAAAATACAGTTTAACAGGATCATAAAATGTTGTAGTGTGATACAATGCTATGCTATTAAAAGAACAAGGTAGAAGTTGTTGGTATAGCGTGTTTTAACTATAAACACTTACGAAGTTAATAGTTAACGGGGCTCAGTCACGACATTTCTAGTTATTTTTGCTGTGTTCAATATTACATGTACCTTTAAATTGAAGGATACCTGAAAATAGTAGTTCAGCAAGGTAGAAAAACACCAAAGAGAAATAAAGAAACCACAAAGAAACAAGGATGGCTAAGGATGGAGAAGATTAACATGAATTACAAACAAGGAACTTGAAAAATTTTGACTAAACTTTTCTAGTTGCACAGATGGTGAAGTAGCTCCTGCAAGCATTGGTGTTTGGAAAACAAGATATTCAAATGGTACTGGTCAGGATGAACTTTCCCCTTTCAGTTTGAATCTTAGCCTTGATTCTCTACTAAGTAGCACGCATACTTTCCCACAAGCATTTAGTCAGACCGCTTAGTTAGGCCTCAGGGATCAGCATAATTAAGCCAACACTTGCCCCCCCCCCCTCCCTTTAAAAAATTGAAAATAAATAAAACATGATAACTGCATGACAATGGACTACAGAAAATGTATCTTGCTTTATTGGTTAAATAATGAGGTTAACACAACTGCCATTCTGACCCCATAATTTTGACTTTTTTTATTGGTTAAATAATGGGAAGTCAACACAATTGTCATTCTGACCCCATAATAATATTTTGACCTTCTAAAATGCAGAAAAATAACATTTAATTACATCTCCTTGAGTTTTCCCATTTACATGACTGTTTACTGGTAAGCCCCTCAGCACTTCGTGATCAGTGTTTAATTTCTCATTACAAGTTGCAGTATATCACAGTACGAAGATTACAAAAATTTAACCCCTAATCATTTCAGGTGAAATGTTAGTAACATATTTCTCTGTCAGAAAATTACAAATACTCTAAAGAATGTCAGGAAGATATTAGAGCTGGAGAATTTGACTGAGCGAAGACATGATTATAAAATGATTTTCACAAAATGTCAAATTGAGTTCTTTTTCTGTACATTGATATATTCTTGCTATAATTTCAAAAGCCTAACTAACAGTACTTTGCAGATGTCACCCACATTTTGGATACCTGTATTTATTTCACAATAACATAAACTTAACACATGGGTTTGTAAATAGATGCACAACACACTCTTTTTCATGAGGAGAAAAATGACATCTCTAGGTCTGCCAGTTTTCTCCTTTCATNCCTGAAAATAATAGTTTACTAAGATAGAAAAACATCAAAGAGATAATAATAAACCATAAAGGAACAAGGATGGTCAAGGATGGCGAAGATTGACACAGACTGCAAACGATGAATTTGAAAAATTTAGGCTAAACTTATCAAAATGTGCAAACCGTGACTGAGCTCCTTTAACATAAACTTAACAATGCACTACCCCACTCTTTTTCATGAGGAGAAAAATGACATCTCTTTTAGTCTGCTGCTTTCATTGTCTTCAGGAAGTCTGTCAGGTTCCCTGACATGATTATCGTTGACAAGGCTTGGCTTGTACTCTGTAGAACTTTGTTCCTACAGGAACTCGAAACCTGTTATGTGGCTACAAAAAATACCAAATCTGAATTAACTCACACAGCAGAGTATTTATTACAGGTTGCTCTAACTTTCTTGCATATGTCTGGGTTAAACCAACTATTAAATACACAAACACAATGAAACATATGGTTAATAATAATTGTAACAATTAATAATAATTTGGTACTTCCTATGATTATTGTGAAGACAAAACCTGGGCCAAGGTACAAATAATGATGGCAAAAGACAAAAATTAATAGTAGATCAAACATGCTAAATGATAAGCTGAGAGGTAAAATGGGTAGCCCGTGAACACAGACGGATTTTAGGCTTTGTTTGCAGGCTATTTAATGGGAAGAGCTTTAGTCATGATTACACAAAGAGTGGGTGCTTCTCAATGATACACAACCCTGATACACAACCGGACCTCATTGCACTCAGTCTGTACTGCCACGACCTCGGGCCAATATTCCCCAGTATCACCCTTGTGTTCAGATATTACAAGGTTGGTCTTTTTCCAGAAATTCAAGATCTTGTACCTTTTTAGCTTGACAATACTCCTTATCTGTCATCTGTGCCAACATCCATGGTCTAAATACAACAAATCAAACAGTAAATCCAAAGCCTCTTACAAACATTAAAGGGGCTAGGTCACACTCATAATTATGAACTGGCAACTTAAACAACACATTGATACAAATTGTGCTAAACTTGATTTTCACAAACCTGACAGAAGTAAACTTTAAATATTTTATTCAAGTCTAATTTCAACCTTGTTTGGTTGGTACACATTTTTCCCCACAGTGTGACCTAGCCCATTATGAAAGAATTGTTTCAAAAACCTTACCGTCTCTTTGGGCCACCTGGAAGAGGATGAGAGAACAGCGTATTAAAAATAATTACCCTAGAAAAAGTTAAGAATACAACTTTAAGTGCATTGGATACATTGTGGCAGGTCAGAGTTAACTTGAAGGTAAACTTGATTACAGGGGGGCTGTTTAGAATTGAAAAAAATTGACTATTAAAAACTTAGCAAAACCAATATTTATAATAATCATTACAATAACTGATAAAAGACAACTACCAGTGAATCTACCATTAATTTAAAATATTAATGTAAAAATATTAAGAACAGTGCTTAGTATATCTTGGGAGCCCCAAAAGTTCATCAACAGCAACTTACTTTGTCGCTAATAGAGAGTATTTACTGCACTCACTTGTTGCAATATCGAGTCCACTCATGGATTCAGGATGTAAAAAGAACAGTGTCTGTCCTGTACTTAACACAAGATAGTTTTCATATCGTTCATCAAACACCAAAAGAATCAGGTCACCATTCTGAAAGCTACACAAAAATAAACTGATTAACATTATATTGTGATGTTCAAGTTAGTCTTCAGAATGAATAGAGGCTTTGACATAATTCTTTCTCAGGGCAAAGAACTTTCCCCTGTCAGCAAATTGGAGATAAGTTGTTTTTGGCTCAGACAAGTAAAATTGACAAATGAAAGTACTTTTCTGATGGGATGAGTAACATTAAACATGTCAAACATTTTCCTTTTCTCGGCTTTTCAAGATCTGGAGTTAATAGCCTGCATAGAAAATATTATTGAGAAGTAACTTGTTGCCAATGAGTTTGTTTCACTATCATATGCTATACCTACTATGTGCACTTGTTTCAGAAAATGCAGATCGTAAAACTATTTCCACCTCCTACACTAACAAACTAACAATATTGTTTAGTGTTTAAGGTTACTTTTATTGAACTTGTAGATAAAGTGATATGCGGATAAAGCACTATGTTTTACTACTATCTGCTGTTGTTTGGGTAGTAGGCAACATTTTGCTTGATATCTATTATTGGAAGAGTGGATGTTATGTCCTGACAACCAAAATCTGGCAAGTAGCTGTCTGGTGGACAAGTGAAATGAAAAAAAGTTTTTTGGCCTATTGCTCTCAGAGCTGCTGGCCTTCTTAGCCTATGGACCCTCATGATTTGATTGGCTAGATTCTTGCAGTAAGATTTTCAGATCATGTGTAATAAAGGCATCCACGATTGACTGTAGATCGATACCCTTGATCCACACTCAATCAACACCTCGCTTGACACTTGATGGACATCTTGATCGATACTCAGCTGATAATCAGTCAACACTTAATCAACGTCACAACTGACACTCGATCAACACTCATTTGACAGTCGGTCAATAGTCGGTCCACACTCGACTCAACGGCATGTTTGCAAAAATTAGTCAAATCTTGACCGAGATACTGATCGAGTGTCGATCGAGTGTCGATCAAGGGTCAATTGAGGGTATCAGTCGAAACTCAACTGTAGATACCTTTGGTGCACATGATCCAGATTTTCACTAGTTATAAACCTGGACTACATAATCAAATTATAACAAATCATCATCTTACTCTCTCAGGGAGATTTTATCCATCTTTGATGTTGCTGCAGTTGCTCCAGCTAACTGCTGCATCTGACTCTGTAAAACATAAATGGTACGATGTACATGTACATTTTATCGATTTCCCTTTTATTCTCAAGATTGAAATATCAATTCTCCTAACAGATTAGCACTGTACATTATTTTGATGTGAGATATGAGAATAAATAAAATAAATATTATTTGGTAACATATCAAGGCCAAAATTAAATGTAGTTCCTCGAAGGACAATTTTCCCACAATTTAATACTTTTGTACAAGATGTATGGAGAAAATGACGTTGACCTTGTAAATTGGGAATTAATAAATTTTTCTTGGAACATATTCTTGAAATTTTGACTTAATCTTTACCAGGTGCTAAGGTGTTCAACAGCCATATAAGTGAAAGGTATGGGTATGCACAGGAGGATCAAAAATGAAATATTCATGTTACTATTCAGGGCAAAAGCATTTGAGCTGGTGTTGCTCACAGAGGCTTATTTGATTTAGAGGGTCAACCAAGAAAGTTTGTAGAGCTTCATTACATTTCCAACATCACATTTTCCTTACCATACAGCTACAGTACAGTTCAAGATAACAACTTTACATTTAAAAAGGATTCCCTTACTAGTTGATGCTGAAGAATTTTAATCTGTTGATCTTTTTCATCCAAAGCCTGTAAAATTATATAGTTTCCATTGTTACAAAAAGCATGGAAGTCAGTAAACTGATTACTTTTTCTTACTATATACGTAAAAGAAAGACAAGGAAAATGAATGCAGTCGTCAAAACATCAGAAGATAAAGTTTAGTATACATGTTTTGCACATCCACAGAGAAATAAACACAATTTACCCACTTACCTGTTTCAGCTGCACCCCCTGCAATGTTGAGCCGTCTCCATCTGTAACAGCAAAAAGAATACCAACAAGCACTAAGTAGAGCAAGCAAACATGTACATTAAATTGTATCAAACCAATTAAACCTCGCCTCACTTACCAGTTTGTTCTGACAACGTTTCAGTTAGTTTCCTGTTTTCCTGTAAAAAAGCAAAATAACCATTTGAGTACTATTTACTACAATTTTATTTTGAGAAGTAATGTCAATTGAGTTTTCTTTTGTTTAAACAGCAAATAATTCATTGGTTAACAATGCAAATTGATGATAAATGCTAGCCAAAGAACATGACTGAAAGTGTTTGTAATGAATGTCAATGTAGAAGCAAATCTCACTTCTTCCAGTTGCTGAATCCTCTGTTGATAATCTTCCTCCAGAACAGCATCAGTGCCACACCTGCCAAAAGAAATAATTTTATGTTTTAAACATGATTTTCTAAATTGCACACGATGTACCCCAATATATGCCATAAATTTCAACGTAAAATGATGCCTTTTGAAGCCCAACTAAACACAATTTCCTAATCACTCAGATGCGTACAAAAATTAACAAATATGCAGTTTATGAGTTCTGCCCAAGGGACCCAGTAGCCAGCTTATGGGTTTATATACAGGATTACATGTTGACATTTATGGCCAACATTTTTGGCCAACACGGAACCTTACTTTGAGGCTGGATCAAATGTCAAACATTGGCTGTTTCAACATAACTTTGCTTATGCATGAGACAGAGTGTAATTTGCTACTTGGCCTACCACTAACAAAGGCAACGTTACCACTTAACAATAACATAATGAAATCTGCTGAAAGACACAGGTTTATATGGTCCACATTTGTACAGCAAGTTGCCAAGCTTGCAAAAAGACAACCATATATCTAATGTCAGCAACTCTCAGATGAACACTAGTGCAACCAATTACTACTACTGACATCAATATCAAGATTACATAATCATGAAAAAATCCCACTAAGTATTCAACGACACTTACTCAGGCTCCTGGCTTTTTCCTTTTAAGTCTTTGTTTCTTTCTGCTTCCCACATTTGTCGCTCAAGTTGCAGCAGGGCTAATGTTGACGCTTTCTCCTGTTCAATCTGTTCTAAATACTCTGCTTCTTTGTTTTGCATCAGAATTTCAGCTTCTAGAATTTTGGATTCTTTGTCTTGTAAAGCTGACAATAAAAAGAATGAGAGCATATTATTTGAGTAAATACTGAACAGTCTCATACTTCCTTGACTGAAATATCGTTACTCGGTTGTACAGCTTGACAGAGTGAAGTGCTGTTGGAGTACAGTATCTTGCCCTTCAAAATACAAGTAACAATCGAGGGTCCAGATAGCAGGGCTGCCATTGAGGGCCATAACCTGTAACACCTGTTATGGCTGAGTATGCTTGATTTTCCCTTGATGCTACGGGTGAAATTGCCTGTTTTTGATAGAATTCAACAACAAAGTAACAGGATTGCTATGGGTGTGGAGATCAAGGCTACAGGTGACTCAAAACTTAATGACAGACCTGGATAGTAATAATTTTTACCTTTATACTAACTGCCATAAATTTTCCAATCACAAGAGTCTAATGGCACATACATAATCTTACAAATTCTACTACACATGCATGTACACAACCAAGGCATCCCAAGCTGATGACTCTTTGGTTTTTTTCTACTATTAGTTTGCTTACCAGCCAGTAGCTCCTGTTCTCGTCCACAGAAGACCTCACGTGCCTGTTCATAATCTACTATGACTCTCTCTTTCTCCATCACTAAGGATTTTATATTGTTCTCTTGTTGTTCTACCAGTTGCTTTAGCTCTTTGATTTTTTCTTGTGCTTGTAGGACTGCCTGTTCTTTCTCTCTCTTCAGCTTCATCATTATTGCATTGAATCGTATTTGCTGATCTTCTTCATAGCGTGATTTACTCTCTTGAACTTTCTGTGCTGCACCTTCATGTTCTTCCAGTTTAGTTTTGTACTCATTGACAATCATAACCAACTTTTCATTTTCTTGTCTTTGTCGAAGTTCGCTTCTTTCTTTATCAGTTTGTAATTGTCCAAGTTTATTTAGAATTTCAACCTTCTCAAGCTCAAGTTTAGATTTTATTGCAAGAAATGTGCTTTTTTCTTGCTCAAACTGTGAGTTTATTTGTACCAGCTCTCTTTCATACTCTTTTCTAGTTCTTTTAGTTGTGTTTTGGATTGCTTGTTCCCTAAACAAATCTGCTTTTTGGTGTAAATTACCAACAGTGACTAGAACATCTTCCTTCACCTTCGAGTCCCATTCCAAAATCAGCTGTCTACTGTCATTAAGACACTGACGAATGACCTCAAACTCACCCTTAACACAATCTCTGACCTTTGAATTCACTTGTTGAAGTGTTTCATTTTTGGAATTAGCCTTCTCTAAACACACTTCACTAGTTCTTAATTGTTCCTCCAGCTGTTCTAGTCTGTCAAACATTTCATTTGCCATGGACTGACTTGTTCTCTCAAAGCTTTGATGATCTGAAACAAGTGTCACTTCCTTACCAAACTCTTCTAAGCCGCTCCCTTGAACTGGCAGATTACTGTCAGAGCTACTCTCTGTTTGAGTGCTGTGATCCGTGCTCTGAGTTCCAGAACTACCGAGAGTCGGTGTTTGACTTGCATCGTCAAGAAGAGCAGTACAATCGTCTTGAAGCTCACCTACTGGTTGGATATCAGAAGGGGATTCTTTCTCTTCAACATTTCCAGCCAAATCAGCGTCAAAAACTGTCACATAATCCTCATGTGCTGATCGAAAAACTAAGTCACTATCATCAAGCGCTGAGCTTTTCTCAGAACCAGTGTCACTGTTACTTTTTTTCCTTTCGTTAGACTCACTGTTGTCAGAAGCCTCTGTAGTCAAGTTAGTTTGTTCACTGATGTCTGGAACATCCTTAGCACAGTATAATTCAGTTGGACCTTGCTCATCTTGTACAGGAGAGCTCTCACTTTCATTGCAAGTCCATTCAACTTGTGTTGAAGCATCCATGCTCATTTGTGTTGCTTTGTTTTCAGAAGACGACATTTCAGCAAGTAATGATGCTTCCTTCTTGTCGGTTATACTTTCACTAGTTCTACCTCCAAAAATCACAGGAAACTGGGCAACACTACTAAGATTTTCAAGTTCTTCTAATTGTAGGAAACTACTTTTTCCGCTTTCATCTCTCATGCTGATGTTGATGGAGCAAGACTCGAGATATGAAGCTAATTCTGGAATCTGATCCTTCAGTTCTTGAAGGTCTCTTTCTGTTATTATGGGAAGCTGTTCATCAAAAGGTTTGGGCAGCTTTTCCTGCAACAAGAACATCATTGAGTTTGCCTAACTACTTTGTGTTACAATTCAAATTTATTACTGGTTGTCAAGTACACAATTTTACTATAAAAAGAACCTTTTGTGAAAACAAGAACTGGGTGCTTAACGAAGAAATTGAACTGGGAAGGCTCAACTTTTCTGAATGGCCTGCAAAGAGACTAGCAATATCTACTTGCTGCTTAAAGATGAAAGACATACCACAAATCTTGATGGTCTGTCAGACATACCACTGAACAAACTTTGCAAAAAATGCTGGCCTAGAAAGAGAGAAAGAGGTAGAGATAGCAAAGAGAATAGACAAAAGTATTGTTACATATTATTATTATGTATTATTGATTATTAATCCATAATTGAATCTGACATTAGAAATGAGCTCTCTCCACCCCAGGGGGGTTACTGGGTACTCCCTGATATGGGCTATATAGGTATTTGCAGCTCCAAAGGGTAGGGTTTTTCAGCCGTTTTGGTCATAAATAAGGTATGGCCTTCGCACTCCAGTCTTGAACTGGGTATGTTTCTTAGAAGAAGCTACTTTTTCATCATTATCAATAAGACGGTCAACAGAAGCCCTTGATAACTTATATTTTAGGCAACTGTGCCAGCTACAACAGTCATAAATAGGGCGGCAAAAATCGCAGGTTTTGGTCATAAATAGGGTAAGGGTTTTGGGAAGTGGGCTGCTTATCCCCACCCAACTTTCCTGGGAGTAGCCCCCCCCCCTCCACCCAGGTCCCTCCACAAGGATATTGGCAAACCTCTAACATTCCTAGAAGTATTTTATTTACTGACAGAAGTATTATAAAAAAATGTCTCTACCTTAAAGGCCCTAATAAGTTTTCATGCTTACAAAAAAACGGAAATTCAAAGCTTGATTCGGTTTTAAACTTGTGTTCAACTTTTTTTCACAAGTGCTTGCACAGTATATATTAAGTATGACACTATGTAGATTGCTAACCAAAATGCAACTCAAATTCTTCTCTCTTTGCAGTTTCTTCTGTTCTTGCCTGTGTTGAGCCCTCACATAACTTGCTAGCCCACTAGAGAGGAAAAAATATTAAAACAAAGATGTTGGTACACTTCTAATCAAATAATGTTCATAATGTTAAAAGCAAAAACTGCTTGCAAAGTCAACTGGTTTAGTTATAGTGGTTTCACGAATAATTGATAGACACAGCAAGCTGTAATGAGGTTTAACTTATGTGAAGGACCAACCTATGAGACAAGGCCAGACCACAACACCAGGAACTCTGTGCCCTACTCTTTGTGATAAGTGTGTGGGTTCTTTAACAGCCCCTGTTAACCATGAAACACTGAAGATGCAGGAGATGGGGCCTACTGTTTACAGTCTTTATCCAAGAAGACTTGAACATCCAACTGTTAGCAAATGTAAAATTTTACAAAGGTAGCACATTCTCCTCAATTATTTTGGGAACTTGAGTGTTGGTCCAGTCTGGGGCTTGAACCTGCAACCAGCCAGTCGATAACTTACCTTATGAAACTGTGAAGAAAATGATCTCCTCCTTACAACTTCTGCCACAGCTAAGATGTACACACATGGTGCCTCATTTACTTGTTCAATGATTTCCAATCTAAAACAAATCAACAAGTATCTCTACCCAGTTAACAGAGAAAATTAGCACCAATAACTTTAGCCTCAGCTAGCAGAGACTTCTTTCAAAAAACACACCCAGTTCTTCACATTTTAGAGGGATATCTGGGCTTCAACCTAGTTCAGCTAACATTGATAGCATTAGCTCAACAGAGATCCATGACAGAGGTGCTAATAATATTCTTGTTAGTCTTTTGTACATGAGTAACAGTCAATTGGATACACTAGGGCTATTTCATCAACATGCAATTTTGGGGGTTGAATCTCCCATGTTGTTCGAGTAATGAAAAAATAAGCATGCAACCAAAGAAATCTGTTCAATGAGACACAACACATTTTTATTGTAATGGGAGGGAATGGAAAGTCTCTCTGGATGTGCAGCCATCTAAAGCCATGCTCTACAAATCAGTAGGGGTTTAACGATTCATATTCCTTGCGATTCAATTCAATTTCGATCATTGC